TTTGAGTTGCAAAATCCACTTGAACATGACGCTGCTTTTTTCGAAGTTTCTCAAGAACCATTCGAGCCACAGAATTCGTTTTGGCATCGTTGGAAAGAGAATTGAAAAGTCGATTCAGTTGTAACAACGTGAGTGAGGAAATTCGAGTAGTTTTGACACGGAAAGCGAAATTTGAATATCAGACACTTAGGTGCAAGATTATGCCAAAATGCCATGTTTTTCGTCCCATTTTTGCTCATTTCTCGCAGGCAAAATGAGCAAGAACGCTAATTTGCACATCATTCTAGAGAGAAATAAATGGCCCTTTTAGAAAGTGAACCATGGATGGGGAAATGTTGGCAGTTTTCTCAAAAAAGGCTTGAATTCAAGAAGTTTTAAATTTGCGTGATTTTTTTCTGAGTTGCAAAATCCACTTGAACATGACGCTGCTTTTTTCGAAGTTTCTCAAGAACCATTCGAGCTGAGAGATTAGAATTTGTTTTGGCATCGTTGGATAGAGAAGCTGAGCACTATTTTGGACTGCACCTAGAAGTGCAAGTTGATTCTGACTATAGAAATTCAATATTTTGTAGATAATCAGGCAAGTTGCAACACTATTAGAGAGCGTGGCTTTAGCATATGTTCACCAGTCTCCATTCACTTTGCGCCAACAGCGGCGTCCTTTTGGGGGGGGGGCTGCCACAATTCTTTCTTTCGTTGTCGTCTTTGGCTTTGCACCATCAAGGTTCCTCAACACCTTCACTGGGTTCCTTCCTATCCACTTGCAAAGGCCCAAAATGCACTTTTCTCTGTTCCTCAGTGGAAAAATTAGAGAAAAAACGGGGAAAACGCTGAAAAGTGCTGTGGAACAGATGAGGAATAGTCAGAACTAAAGTGTGTTTTACTCTCTTGGTGAAGCCGAAGAAGCATTTTCACCGAAAAGTTGATTTATTTCTCAACATTGCTCGGAAGAACTCGATGCTGACAAAATAATCACGAAATGTTCCGAGCAATTTTCACTAATTAACCCTTTCCGCCTTAAAGTACGCAACACACCGAGCTGTTAAAGTTGAGTTTCACAAAATTGCAGCAAACGATTCATCTGAGAGCTCGTGTGAAAATCAAGTTTGGTTTTCCGTCGCTCTTAATGACGCGAGCACAGAAAAAAATTTACAGCTCATCACACTGTGCGACTATGGATTTGCCATTTAGGGAGCTTTTGCACAAGATATCAAGCCATACAAACTCAAAGTTTCATCAAAATTCAGCAAAAGACTCATCCGGAAATTATTAAATGCACAAGATACAGGACAATAAAAAAGTGTCTTCGATGTGAATGATAAAAGGAGATGGAATCTTCTTGGAATCTAAGGAAGCTTTGAGCTCAAAGTTTTTTTGCTTTCTTCGATAGTCTATGAAGAACGAACTTCATCCACCAACCTTGATATGTTCAAGGATCGAGGAAAATTTTCAAAAATTTTACTGCATTTCTTCAGCGATTCAATGCGGTTTCCCACCTTTATCTTTATGTTTCCATTGTTTGCTTAGGCGATATTTGCAAGACGGTACTGCACTGACCCAGTAGAGGACAATCGATTCAACGTCATGACCTTGCAGTCGTTCGCAATTATTGCAAATGATTATAATATGCATTTAATATGCACTATCGAATAATCGAGCTGATTGAACAGTGCCGATATGCAACAGTGGCTGTTTCGCAAATCCTTCTAAGCTCTTGCTAATCGCAGGTTTTTTCGCACAAACACTGACCTCAGCCAACCATCGCATCGATTCCGATTAAAACTTAATGGCGATTGATTGGTTTTTGTTGCATCCAATGGTTTGGTTATTTGGAACGAGGATTTCCTGCTTGATTTGGTTGTCGGATGAAGTTGGGCTAAACACTGTGTCTTAA